CTTAACCACACCTGGCTAAGAGCTTTTCCTTATTAAATAAGACAGCAGATCTCAACATGTGGTCCAAGGACCTCTAAGGTGCCCCAAACCTTAGGGGTTCTGTGAGGCCTAAATTATTCTCATAATAATACTAACAGATTAGTCACTGTTTCTTAATTCTCATGGTCTCATGAGTGGACACTGGAGTTTTTCAAAAGCTATGTGATATTTATCATGGCAGAGAATACAGAAGTATCTATGAGAATTTAAATAATTTCCAGGAAGCCAAATACTAAAGAAATTTACAGAAATAAGTGGTGGGGTGTGGTGGCTCATGCTTGTAATTCCAGCACTTTGAGAGGCTGAGGTGGGTGGATCACTTGAGCCCAGGAGTTCACAACCAGCCTGGGCAATGTGGCAAAACTCTGTCTCTACAAAAAATAGAAAAATTAGCCAGACGTGTTGGTGCGTGGCTGTAATCCCAGCTACTTGGGAGGTTGAGGCAGGAGAATAACCTGAGCCCAGGAAGTCGAGGCTGCAGTGAGCCATGATTGTGCCACTGTACGACAGTCTGGGTGACAGAGTAAGACCGTCTCAAAAAAAAAAAAAAAAAAAAAAAACACATACACATATACAAAATACACACATATGTAAGACAAAGCCACTTTTGCTAAACATTTTCTGTGTTGGGAAAAATTTTCTTATAAACAATATGCCATTTATGTCAGCATGTGAAGAGTTTAGTGTTGTTATTTTTAAGTCACTTAACAAATAATTTGATTATGTTTTCCTTTCATATATGGTAAATATCAATAGATAAAACCCATCTGTGTTAGTATATTCTCACATTGCTATAAAGAAATATCTGAGACTGGGTAATTTATAAAGAAAAGAAGTTTAATTGGCTTGCGGTTCTGCAGGCTGTATAGGAAGCATAGAGGCTTCTGCTTCTGGGGAGATCTCAAGAAGCTTCCAATCACGGTGGGAGGTGAAGGGGGAGCAGGTGTCTCACATGGTGGGAACAGGAGCAACAGAGAGAAGTCAGGAGGTGCTACACACTTTTAAATGACCAGATCTCACCAGAACTCACTCACTATAGTGAAGACAGTATAATGGGGGATGGTGCTAAACCATTCATGAGAAATCTGCCCACATGATACAATCACCTCCCACAAGGCCCCCACTCCAACACTGGAGCTTACATTTCTATATGAGATTTTGATGGGAACACACATCCAAACTATATCACCATCTAAACAAAATTTTCTTGGGGGACCTCAAAAAATATTTAAGAGTGTAAAGAGATCCTGAGACCAAAAAGTTTGAGAACCACTGGAACGGAACCTGGAAATTAATCCTGGAAACCCCACTGCAGGTCCTCTCTATATTGTATAGCTGTGTCACATATGTATTACCAGTATTATGGGCTTATTAAAGTACATATAGTTCATGCCATATATAGTGTGGGTTAAGCCATTCTCAACTATTTTTTGTTATCCCTTCTATCATTTACTCATAACAAATATTTATTGGCCATCTACTCCATGGGGGCCATCATGTTAGGTTTTAGGGGTAAAACCATAGCTCACAGAATGGAAATAGCAGGTAAGATAACAGGCCATCTCTACAGAATGTGACGAGAGCCACAAGAGGAAAACTGTGTGCCATGCCAGCATGAGGGTGGGCACCTCTTCCAGGCAAGGGAAGTCAGGGTGGGAGAGGTTTCCCAGAGGAGGCAGCATCTGACCTCTGACCTGAAAGATGAGAGGACCTAACCAGGTGATGACCAAGAGAGGTCAGTTCAGGGAAAAGGAACAGCCCAGAAGGAACGGAACTCTGAGGCATCCTTGTCTGAATCTCCTGATTGTAAAGAGAGAAATCTACCTGCTGATATCAGGTAGGGTGGATGGCTGCAAGAATTCACGGGGCTCATTCTGATGAATTTTGAACAACACACCCTCAGGGGAGCTCTTCCTTTCACAAGGTTTGCCTTCTAGCTCTTTGACTTTCTAAGGGGATTATGGGTCGGTCACAGTGGCTCATGCCTATAATCCCAACACTTTAGGAGGCCAAGGCGGGAGGATTGCTTCAGTCCAGAAGTTCAAGACCAGCCTGGGCAATATAGTGAGACCCTGTCTCTATATTTTATAAATATTATTTTAAAAAGTAGATTGTGAAGGCTATGCAGGACTAATAAATGTCCAAGATTACATGGAGCACATTTGACTGACCAGCGGGCACAGACTCACGGCCAGTGAGACAGGGACCACACGGACAGCAGAACTTGCTCCTCTACCTTCCATGGCATACAGGGACAGTCACATTGGGTCACGCTTGTGTCATGTTTGTCTTGATGAAGAGTCACTATTCGCAGAGCTTCCATGTAAACGTGGCTTTGCATGGACCACTGAAAACATCTGTTTCCTAACTGGATAGCCAAACCCTGCCACATGACATATAACAGGACTGCACAGGCTTGAGGCATGCCTCAGAGGGAACGCAGGCATCACGAACCTAGTTGTGGGAGCGAGGGAGACTGCAAGGGTAACTTAGTGCTGTGCCCCCAGAATGGGGCTAGGGCAACCTATGTACTTCCTCCCCATCTCCAGCCTGGATTGTTCCAAGAAATAGGGTGCGCTGGGATGAAGCAGATAGAAATGAAGTAAGAGAAAGAGTTCAATCATGGTATTTTTCTGATGAGGGCCCTCTCTTTTGTTAACTTCAAAATAAACGAAAGCCACTTAGCCTAGGAATCATGGAAAGATCCAAAATTATTTCATATGCTTCCTCAAAAGCCAATCTAAGGATACAATCACTCTAGGTTGCATCGCTTACCTAACATATATATTATATATATATAATAAATAATAAATACGTGTATGTTATATATAATAAATAAATATGTATTTATTTATCTATTTTTTTTAAAGACAGGGTCTTGCTCTGTTGCCTAGGCTGAAAAGCAGTGGTATGATCACAGCTCACTGCAGTGTCAAACTTCTGGGCTCCAGTGATCCTCACACCTCCCACCTAACCTCCTGAGTAGGAGGACTGCAGGCATGTGCTACTATGCCTAGCTAATCTTTTTTATTTTATATAAAAACGGGGCCTCACTATGTTGCTCAGGCGGGTCTCAAACTCCCGGGCTCAAGCGATCCTCCCATCTCAGCCTCCCAAAGCACTGGGATTACAGGCATGAGCTGCCACACACAGCCAGTTTACATATACTCACCAATTGCGCCTCTTTACTACCAGTTCTTTGGCTTTTTGCACTACATTCTTAAAAGGTCAGAAAATAACTTTCACTGGAATATAATAATAGGCAAGCATGTAACAAAACCCTTCTGGCTAGAAAGTACTTAAATTTTTACAAAATGACGGTGGTCAACTCCACCGTCTCCCACTCTCCCTTGTCAGTGCAATCACAAATCCTGGGTCCTGGAAAAACGCAGGATAGCAAGAAGCAAAGGAAGCCCAAATAGCAACAACAAAACCAGGCTGCCTCCAAGTGAATAACAGAATGCCTTGCAGGAGTAGGGAGGAGGCGGCGAACTAGTGACCTCGATGGGTCCAAAGCGGGTATGCAATGGAAACCTCCATCACATGAAGAACCTCTGAAGGCTCTTTTGCTGTTGTGGAGTTTGTGGTGCAGGCTCTTGCTGCTTGGCAACAAGCTTGGGGCGCAACAAACTTCTAAACCACAAAATAAAATGTGATTGGTTCCCCTGTGAGCAATACAATAGCACCCGTTAAAGGCTTACAGTTAAAATAAAGAGGCAAAGTAATTCAAAGAGTATGGGATCTGCTCCTAGTATAGGCACAAATTCACTGACTGAGTAGTTTAATTTCTTCTCTATTGCTGCTAACAAACAATGTAACACTGGCTTTCCACTCTATAAAAACACTTCCAATTTTAATGACAATATGCACATTTATTTAGTTGTTTGTTTTCCAAAGTAAAGCCTGAACTTTGGAGCAATGACAGAAGGGGTGGGGGGGGGGGTGGAGGTAGAAGAAATTCACCAAGTAGACTCAAATAATGGAGTCTATTTTTATATGCCAGGTATTTAAAAGTAGCAGGCTCAAAATAACACATTTGTTAACACATGGTTTTTGTGAATCGCCAACCATAAATTTTTTTCGTTGCCTGCATTCCCAAGTTGGTTTCATAGAAGGCTTTATTGTAATCCAGGAGAATTATTTTGCATTAATTTCTATGACAAGGAACCCAAAACACAGGGTGCTGAGAGTAACAAAACAGAGTTAGGGAAACAGTCATGACTTGGCACAAAGTGTGACAAGCTGTAAAAAAGCGAATGTTTCAATATCTGAAGTGTTGATTTCCTATGAGCAACCTTTTCTCTTCCAAACAGTATCATATTCTTTTCAAGCACATTTAGAACGCAAGTCAAGCTGTGTTTTATTTTTTATTATAATAAACACAGTCAGTTTACTGTAACAAAGACATACTAGTGGTAATCAGCTGAAAGCCAAATACGCCACCATAAGCTGGGCGGGGGGCTGCTGTGGGGGGGCTAGGGGCTGGGTAGTCAACTGATAAAAGACCAGCCGTCTGGAAAGTTCTCTTAAAAGAACATAAAAAGGCAGTGTTTTCTTATGAGACTAACACAGAATGCCAAAATATCTAGCTGGGCTCTTTTCTATTGTCACTTACGGCAATTTGTAACTGAAAATAGCAATTCCTTCAAAATAGTGGGCTCTCCTATTTGTTTTTTTTTTAAATCTCCATAATAAAATGCAGAAATTTTATACATGGTTTTAAATGGTAATACTTTTTCTTATCCAAGACTCTAGTAAGCATATTTATTGCTGTGCTACTCAAACTGCTTTCTTTAAAATGACCACTTACAAATGTTTATAATTATACATGTACTTAGATTTCCGATAAAGGTGAAATGAGTCATTCACAGGAAACAATCACAAATAAAGTTTATAAAACTTTCATGGTTAAATTAAATTCCTGAATTCAAATAGTTAGGAAATAATGTAAATCATCTTACCACATCCTGAACTAATGATTTTTCATAATTAAGCTCTTCTCTTAATCTTTCTCTACTATCCATTAACTGAAAGAGAAGAAATTATATTTTTATTAAAGATGAGAACAGAACATCTAACATCTCTCCTCAAGAGAATTTAGTGAAACATACTTTAATATGAGAAAAATGGATCTCAATCTGATCAAAAGAAAATTAAATTTCTACAGATGATCATCTTACATTATTATAGAATTATTATGTAAGCAAGTAAAATATACACAGAAAATACCAATTTATTTACACCTTTCCTCACCCCACACCATCAAAATGTAACATCACAATAAAGCAAGTCCTACTCTGTCAAAAAGAACAATTTTGCCTAATGTTTTATGTGACCCATCTCTTATTTTAGGGTTTTGCGTTATATCTATGTGCATATCAAACTACATTTATACCAATTGAAAATAGCTATCAGAAGCATACACTGGGCTGGGTGCAGTGGCTCACACCTGTAATCCCAGTGCTTTCAGAGGCTGAAGCAGGAGGATTGCTTGAGGCCAAGAGTTTGAGACCAACCTGGTCTCAAACACAGTGATATCAAGTCTCCACAAAAAAAATTTTTTAGGCTGGGCACAGTGGCTGACACTCATAGTCCCAGCACTTTGGAAGGCTGAGGCAGGTGGATCACCTGAGGTCAGGAGTTCAAGACCAGCCTGACCCACATGGTGAAATCCCATTTCTACTAAAAATACAAAAATTAGCTGGGCACTGTTGCATGTGCCTGTAATCCAAGTTACTTCGGAGGCTGAAGCAGGAGGATTGCTTGAGCCCAGGAATTTAAGGCTGCAATGAACTATGGTCATACCACTGCACTCCAGCCTAGAACAAGACCCTGTCTCTAAACAAACGAACAAACCATTTATTTGTGGGAGCTAGAAATGAAAACAATTGAACTTACGGAGATAACAAGAAGAAGGATGGTTACCAGATGCTGGGAAGGGTAGTGAGCAGTGGGGTAATAGGGTTAACGGTACAAAAAAAAAAAAAAAAAAAATGGCTAGAAAGAATGAATAAGACCTAGTATTTGATAGCACAACAGGGTGACTATAGTCAATAATTTAATTGTACATTTAAAAATAACTAAAAGAGTATAAATGGATTGTTTGTAATACAAAGGATAAATGCTTGAGGTGATAGATACCCCACTTATCCTCATGTGATTATTACACATCGTAATGCCTGTACCAAAATATTTCATATACCCTGTAAATATACACACCTACTAGGTACCCAAAAAATGAAAAATGAAAAAACAAACAAAAACCCCATGCACTGCAGGGCCCTTGTTCCCTTGTGACTTGCCTTGGTATTTACATTGATCAGTTGCTGTTTGTGTGTGTTATAGGCTAGTAAAATTCAACCTTTCGTTTTGATATGCACTCAATTTCATCAATTCATGCCTGTATTAATTTAATAAACATCCCCAGTGTCATCATTCTTGTTTCAGTTCTTTATTGTTTCCCTGGTTTATCCAAGCAACACCTTCACTGGACTCTGGTTCCCGGCTTTCCTCCCTCCCATTCATTTTCTTTCTGAAACACAAATCTGATCCTGCCGCAATGTTCAAGGCTCTCCAACGCACTTAGAAGGTAATTCAAACCTTTTTTGCATGAATATAATCTTCTGCCACTGTCCTCTGCCTCTTGCCACTCCTTGCTCTCAGGTACTCTTCATCTACAGCAAACCACACTCTCTTTCCCATACAAGGTGCTTTTGCGTGGTACTTAGAATACCCCTCTCAACTCTCCCGCATCTCTTTGCTGGCTAACTCTAACAGCTCTTCTTGGGGCCAGTGCAGTATCCTTCCTCCAACCTTCCCTGATCCCGTAGAGTACAGACTGGGAATGCCTCTTGCGTGCCGCACAGCAAACTCTGCTTCTCTGCATCCTGACGCTATCACACCTGTACTGTGCTCTCTGACTCCGGGTCTGTCTCCCTCCCAGAGTGAAATTCATGAGAACAGATTCTACTGTGGCAGCAGCTGGAAGACAGGCACAGATACAGCTGGTATTTGACTCTTGGAATTAAAACACAAAAGCTATGAATTCCATAACTGACCATGCTTAGCCCAGACGGATGGCAAGAGGTCAGCCTCCCCAAATTCAGTCCCATTTTCAATCTGTTTTTAAATGCATCCAGGGCTTTAAAAAAAAAAAAAAAAAAAAAGGTGGGGGAAACACGTGGTTATCTGAAGTCTTCCTAGTTGCTCCTTTCCATTCTTCCATTTCCTGCTTACACCCTCTTCCCCCACACCCCTGGTCTCCTTACTCTGTCTGCCCCACTACAGATTCTTCCTATATAGTTTCATCAGACTTCTACTGCATTCTCAAGCCACACCCAATCACAAGCAGTTTCACAAATCCATGTCAGGCTTTATGCATTCATACACTGTACCCAGCTCTTCTACTCTCTTGCCTGCCTGGAAAAATCAGCTCCAAAGCCCAGCACGGTGGCTCACACCTATGATCCCAGCACTTTGGGAGGCTGAGGTGGGAGGATCCCTTGAGCCCGGGAGTTCAAGACCAGCCTAAGCAACATAGTGAGAGAATATCTCCCCAAAAATAAATAAATACATAAATACATAAGCCAGGTGTGGTGCATGCCTGTAGTCCCAGCTACTCAGGAGATTGAGGTGGGAGAATTGCTTGAGACCAGGAGGTCAAGGCTGCAGTGAGCCATGATCACGCCACTGCACTCCATCCTGGGCAACAAAGAAAGACCCTATCTCAAAAAAACCCCAAACAAACAAGCAAGCAAACAATAGAAAAAAACCTAAAAAAATCAGCTCCAGTGGGCCTCAACAGGAGAACATGAGAAAGGTTGTGGAACTGTTTGTGAAGCTTTTCTAGAATCTTCCAGATGAGGCCAGGCATCTCTTCTCTAGTACACACTTCTCTTATAGTCCCTATCTCACTGCCCTAAGGCTTTGGTCTATCCCTGTAGACTTCACCTGTCCCCAGAAGGGACCATAGGTATATACATGCATTTTATTTTTTCTAGCAGTAGCACAGTGCCTAGTACTTAAAGGCAACTAATAAACATTGCTGAACAAATTGATTTAGTGCAGGACATTGGAAAAAAAAACCAGCAAATATCAGCTGTCATTTGTTCAACAACATCTGAACTGCTTCCCAGTTGACAAAGCATGCTGACATTCATTATCTCATTCAGTCCACACAGTACACATGGGAGAAACAGGAAGGAGGAAGACAGGTACTGGCTCAGGGGACCTAGTGGCAGAAATGGAACAGGAATCCAGGGTTCTAGATTCTTTCTGCTCAGTACCAAAATGTCCCTATATTCAATATCTATGAGAAGTTCCAGTGCATGTAAAGAAAAAAAGAAAGACAGAATTAAAAATCAAGCAGATTAGGAGTCTGCTACACTATATTATATAATTTGCTACATATATTTCATTATATATGTTACATATATCACATTATATGTTATATATTAAATTATATTTATATATTACATTATACACAACAGAGCTATCAGAAATATAATGTGAGTCATATATAATTTTGAATTTTATAGTAGCTGTGCTAAAAAGACAAAAGAAATAGGTAAAAGCAATTTTAATAATGTGTTTTTATCCCAATATATATTCAAACTATTATTTCAATGTATATTCAATATAAAAAAATTATTAGTGAGACATTTCACATTTTTTACACCAGGTCTTTGAAATCCAGTGTGTATTTTTCACTTACAGTACATCTCAATTGGGGAGCTACATTTTCATTGGAAATGCTTTATTTGTATTCAGATTTCATAAAATTTACAAATGAAAAAGTAGAGTCACATATCCAAGTTATCAAAAATACACAGAAAGGTTTTCCAAGAACTGAAATGAGTTTTTAAATTTGAATTTAAAGAATTGGAAATTAAATTATTAAAACTTAGTTCCTCACTTGCACTGGCCACATTTCAAGTGCTCAATAGCCACATGTGGCCAGGGGCCACCACAGCACAGTGCAGATTTAGAAAGCTGAGGCAGCATTTAACTGACATATTTAAACTCACAGATATAGCCAGCCATCAATTGGTGGCTTACCAGTGAGATTATTTTTTTGCTTGAATTTGTTATTGTACTCCTTATAGAAAGTAGGAAGTACATGCTACTCATTTCTACCAGTGGTAATACAGACTGAAGAGCTTGAGAAACATTTTCAATGAAGAACCAGGCCCAGTGCAATGACTCACACCTGTAATCCTAATACTTTGGGAGGATGAGGTGGGAGCATCACTTGAGGCCAAGAGTTTGAGACCAGCCTGTTTCTACAAAAATAAAAAATAAAAAATTAGCCAAGTGTGGTGGTACTCCTCTTTAGTCCCAGCTACTCTGGGATCTGAGATGGGAGGATTGCTTGAGTCTGGATGTTTGAGACTGCAAGTGAGATATTATCGCACCACTGTACTCCAGCCTTGGGGACAGAATGAGACTGAGACAAGGAAGGAAGGAAGGAATGAAGGGAGGGGAGGGAGGGAGGGAGGGAAGGAAGGGAACGAAGGAAAGGAAGAGAAGGAGGGAGGGAGAAAAGGAGGGAGAAAGGAGGGAGGAAAGGAGGGAGGAAAAGAGGGAGGAAAGGAGGGACAGGTGACGGTTCCCTGGTTGGTTATTAAGTGAAACTAGAAGGCTGAGATTTCATTTCTGACCTTAGAGGTTGATGCCAAGAAGGTTAAATGGAATTTACATTATTATCACTGCAAATAGGGTGAACCTAAGAAAATGAACTCCCCTTGTGAAAACCTGCGAGGGATTCAGTTATCAGGGAAACATCTCCCACCTCTGACCAATCAGGGTAACCACTTCTTTGAAAAATACTTCTTAAAAGTAGTTTTATCTAAAATCTAAGAATATTTTGAGTGAAGAAATAAGAGAGGACACAAACAAATGAAAAAACATTCCATCCTCATGGATAGGAATAATCAGTATCATGAAAACGGCCATATAGATTCAATGCTATTTCCATCAAACTACCCTTGACATTCTTCACAGACTTAGTAAAAACTATTTTAAATTTCATGTGGAATCAAAGACCCTGTATAGCCAAGACAATCCCTAAGCAAAAAGAACAAAGCTGGAGTCATCACACTACCTGACTTCAAACTATACTATAAGGTTACAGTAACCAAAACAGCATGGTACTGGTACCAAAACAGACATATAGACCAATGGAGCAGAACAGAGACATCAGAAATAACACCACACATCTACAACCATCTGATCTTTGACAAACCTGACAAAAACAAGCAATGGGGAAAGGATCTCCTGTTCAGTAAATGGTGCTGGGAAAACTGACTAGCCATATGCAGAAAACTGAAACTGGACCCTTTCCTTACACCTTATACAAAAATTAACTCAAGATGAATTAAAGACTTAAATGTAAAACCCAAAACCATAAAAACCTAGAAGAAAATCTAGCAATGCCATTCAGGACATAGGCGTGGGCAAACACTTCATGACAAAAACACCAAAAGCAATTGCAACAAAAGCCAAAATTGACAAATGGGATCTAATTAAAGTAAAGAGCTTCTGACAGCAAAAGAAACTGTCATCAGAGTGAACAGGCAACCTACAGAATGGGAGAAAATCTTTGCAATCTACCCATCTGACAAAGGTCTAATACCCAGAATCTACAAGGAACTAAATCAAATTTACAAGAAGAAAACAACCCCATCAAAAAGTTGGCAAAGGATATGAACAGACACTTCTCAAAAGAAGACATTTACGTGGCCAACAAACTTGTGAAAAAAAGCTCAACATCACTGATCATCAGAGAAATGCAAATCAAAACCACGATGAGATACCATCTCACACCAGTCAGAATGGTGATTATTAAAAAGTCAGAAAACAATAGATGCTGGTATCTATTGTGGAGAAATAGGAACACTCTTACACTGTTAGTGGGAATGCAAATTAGTTCAACCATTGGGGAAGACAGTATGGAATATTCCTCAAGATCTAGAACCAGAAATACCATTTGACCCAGCAATCCCATCACTGGGTATATACTCAAAGGAATATAAATCATTTTACTATAAAGAGACATGCATACGTATGTTTATTGCAGCATTATTTACAATAGCAAAGACATGGAACCAACCCAAATGCCCATCAGTGATAGACTGGATAAAGAAAATGTGGCACATATACACCATGGAATACCATGCAGCCATAAAAAGAAATGAGATCATGTCCTTTGCAGGGATATGGATGAAGCTGGAAGCCATCATCCTCAGCAAACTAACACAGGAACAGAAAACCAAACACCGTATGTTCTCGCTCATAAGTAGGAGTTGAACATTGAGAATACATGGACACAGACTGGAGAACAACACATACCAGGGCCTGTTGGTAGGGGGAGAGAACTTAGAGGATGGGTCAATAGGTGCAGCAAACCACCATGGCACATGTATACCTATGTAACAAACCTGCACATTCTGCACATGTATCCTATCTTTTAGAACAAATAAAGGACAAAAAATTTTTAAAAATTAAAAAAAGAATATCTTGAATGGCAATATCAGGCCTGGTTGAAATCTGTACCTGAACTTAGGCACATGTGGTGGCTGAGCTCTTCAAATGTGGCTAGTGCAACTGTGAAACTAAATTCTTAATTTTGTCTGATTTTAATCCATTTTAACTTAAAATTGGATACTCGGTTCAGTTACTGGAAGACATTTATGTTTATTTGGAATAATTTGGGGATGTGAATCTGCTTATTTATCTGTAAACTGTATGAACTATAAATGCATTCTTATTCTATTCATCTCTTGGAGTATTCTTCAGTGCCTCGGGCATTGTGCTCCCCACTAAGAGACCAGATAGAGCAGTTTCCACCCTTATGGAGCCTCCAGTAGGGCAGGGAAGATAGACCATAACAGAATGGCAACTGAGAGCCACAACAGGGAAGTCTGCGGATAAACGAGAACAGAGTGGGGGAGCCCCACGTGTGCAGGGAGAGCAGGAATTGCTGAGATCCTACTGAATTCAATTGAATGCACTAGGAAATCTTGTTGTTGTTGTTGTTGTTGTGGGGGTTGGTGGTGTATGTGTATGTGTGTTTCAGACAGGGTCTCACTCTGTTGTCTAGGCGGGAGTGCAGTGGTACAATTCTAGTTCACTGCAGCCCTGAACTTCTGAGCTTAAACAATCCTCCTACTTCAGATTCCCGAGTAGCTGGGACTACAGATATGTGCCACCACACTCGGCTATATATTTTTTTATTTTTATAAAGATGGGGTCTCACTATGTTTTCCAGGCTGTACTTGAACTCCTGGGCTCAGGAGTTTCTCCAACCTTGGCCTGCAAAGCTGCTAGGATTACAGGGGTGAGCCACTGCACCCCACCTTGGAAATCTTGATTTTTGTTCTATCAAAAGAATTCCCTGCTCTAAATATTTACCAGATAACATAAGCCCAGCTCATCCATGAACATCAACCAACATCTGATCTGAACATAAGACTGTTCATTTTTAATATAATTTTTTCCTTAACTGTGAGCTCGTCTTCAGACTTCTCTGTGTCATGTAACTTTGGTGCCTTAAAATCAACAAGGCAGATGGTCAGTGATTCCAAACAAAAGAAGTATCTATACATGAGTTTTCAAGATGCAGTCCTTATTTGCTTCTAGTAACCCTTCCCAAATAGTGGGGAGAGATTAAATATGTGGATCAATTTTCCTCTATGTCACAAGACACTCTGGACACAATGTTACTTGGCCAATTGCGCCTATAGTTCCATTTAAAAGAGTCATTTATCAACGTAAAAACGTTATAGTACCTTTTGAATAGTTTTTTGATCCTTTTCTGCCATCTCTTTCATACTTATAAGTTCATCTTCTGTAAACAAAAGGAGAGAGAAGCCAACCATGAAATTACATGCTTATGCCCCTGTATTTAAACGGCCTGCTTCAGGGCAGGCTGTGGGACACTAGCAGGCATGGTGGACACAAGGCCTAGCAGGACTGTGACCTTCACAACTGCCCTTGACATTCACAGCCTTCTTCCTGCTGTTCAGATGGCTGGTCAGATAGGGATTACGAAGTAAGTTCAAGATCCAAGTGTGACTGAGGGCTGAAAGCTTTTCATCAATACTAGCGATGGACATTTTTGCTGTTAGTCACAGCCAATGCAAAGAGCTTTAGCAGGTGGCAGTTTATGACTTAATAAGAACGACCCAAAACTAAAAAGCCTCACTATGCCACAGCAGAAGAGAACGAGACTATACTGGCATGGTAGAATTTTACATCCAAGGGATAATATTAATATAATATATCTCATTTCATTGATATTTTGCTATAATTCATTTTATTGCCTGCTCATTGCTTTGAATAAGCAGATTAAGGACAACATCATGTAATTAACATAATCACACGGATCACAGTTAAATGAAAAAATACATTAAAGCAATCTCACTTTGGTGATTACTTTTTTCCCTTTTCCACATGTTCTAACAACTTCGGTGATTTAAACACAACTTTCACCAATGTGTGTGGTATGAAAGAAAAGGGGTATAAAGTATACAAACGAAATTGTATATTTAAACTTTGTATCAAAAATTGAAGTAACTACTAAGTAGTAGCATATTTTCCTGAAGGGCTAACTCTGTTTTCCCCACAAAGCATATCCCTATGTGTACTCTTAAGTATTTAAGTGTTATCAAGTTCAGATAATCAGTTAAGCATCTGAAACAAATCAGCAAAAGTTTCTATTTGGTTATAGTATTTCTAAGTGAAATGGAGCATTGATTAGCAAATTTTTGCAAAGGCCAATGTCTGTCTTGAAACAACATCCTGAGTTAACATGACATCGCTCAGGGATACAACTACAAACACATCCTCTGTCCCATGTAAGAAATGCTATCTTCAATAAAAAGCAAAGATGGCTATGAAATTGATCTTTTAAATGTAAATAACCAAACAAATGTATGTTTGGAAAAGACAAACATAGTTATGAGCTTTACAAAGTGACCAATATATAGATTTTTCTCAAAGGTGATTTCAAAATGTTACCTAATCCTGAATTTTCTTTTAGATTGATCTGGATTTCTTCTTCAAGCTCTGAAATGATCTGAAGCAGCCTCTCATTTTCCAGTTTGTACTCCAAATTTTCCTTTTCTACGTTTGATTTTGGAGAGCTGGTTTCCTTGGGAAAAGATTCCTAAAAGATGGAGAATGCCATATTTCTAAGCAGGGAGCCAAGGATTTAAATATGCAAGACAAGGACAATACAGATACAGAAAAGCTATCATATAATTTTCTGAATTCTATTACACACTTATAATAAGAATAGTAAAAAGGAAGGAGCCTAAATAGAGCTTGCTGGAAGAAAGGCTCCAGTACATTCTGTACAAAGACCTCAACACATGGGGACATTTTATTGACAGGAATAATGCATATCATACTGTTTGTGTGCCCTCATCATTCAGGTCAATTCATTATGGAGGCTGTGTCCGGGGAGGCAGCTGGGGCCCCTCCACCCACACTTCCCTCTGTGTGTGTCTGAAGTGCTGTCCGCCTGTAACTAGGCAGGCTGGGGGGACCAGGACGGGCAGCGCCAGGGGGTGGCAGAGTGCATGGCTAAGGAGGGGGGCTTGTTGCCTTTGTGGCATTTCCCAGTGTCAGTGCTGCCAGTGTCATGAGGAGCACATCACATGTCAAAGTGGTGACGTTTTCAGGCTGGGAGCCGCATGGAGTCCATCAGGCACACGGATATCCACACAGTTGGTTTTCTGCTTGGTGGAGGAGCCACCCAGAGGCAATTCATATTCTGAACATTAACATGGCTTTGCATGCTTGTCACACGGGGTCTGTGCAGGCGTTTAATGCTATTGAAGACTTCGGTTTAAATCTCTATGCAAACAGTGATTACCTTGTAAGAAGGTTTCAGGATAACTTACAACAAAAGACTTTAAAGTTATAGTTTTAGTAAAGCAAACTCATTTACATTTTTATTATGTGCGTCTTTTGTTTAAATCTTGCCATGTCCATTATGGGAGAGCTTTTTCTTACGCAATAGACGCGCTTATTGGGACAGCTACTTTTTTTTTTTTGCCTTCTTCTTCTTGTCTGTTTCAAAGCCATTGAAAACATCTGAATATACTCCCTATGGTTGTCTAGATTTTACTGTCACACATTAAAAAAAAAAAAATTAAGATGTAATGGATTGGGGAAGTTGGTGCAGAACTTTACACTTTATTGTGGTACAATAATAAACAGATTATGCAATCTCAAAATATTAGTCATTATATTATTATGCCAAAGGAGATAGAAGATTCTACATGCCTTGTTAAAAATTATTACAGACATTAAAAATACTTTTGAACTTAAGAACATCGCAGGTGAATTACAACTTATTCTTTTTACAGTAATTCCATGATTGCAATAAATAAAAATAAAATCTTCCCTCAAAAACAAAATCATTTCTCTCGACTGATTTCCCTTTGGAACTACACTTTCATTTAGTTTAAGGATATGTGGAAGTAAATTATTTAAATATTTTCCCCTGTAACAGTTTGAAAGAAAAAGAAGTGATATAAATTTTTTTGTAGTACATTAATAAGTACATCAATAAGTCCTTTAAAACAAGTGACTTACTAATGAAATTACGTATGGTATGTATGTGTGTGTAAGAGTTAGTAATATTTAAATTATGTTGTTAAATTTTGCACTAAGTTCAATTACCAAATCTTCATGACTTTGATTCACCATTTCATTTAAATTATTTGAGCCCAATTCATTCTTAACTAATGAGAACTAACAAACCTAGTAAGTAGTTAATAAACAACACTGAATCCCAGTCATTAATTTCTTGTCCCACATTGTTCAATTTGAGACCATCACAGAATGCATTTATAGACTAAAAGTTGTTTTTTTTTTTTTTTAAAGAAAGAAAGAAACAAACAATACTGGCCTTAATAGGCTTAAGCATACTTTTCCTAACAGTGGCAGAATATGAACATCCACAGAGGATTACACGAGCACCCGATTCTCATAAACTAAAGAAGAACTACTTGAATTCATCAGATGAAGTGTAAAATTTACAAATGGTAGCAGCTAATACCTAACTACGGGTTCTAAGAATCTCTTTGTATGAAAGCAGGACGCAAGGAAAACACATTAAATCTGGGGGTTTGTCCTCCACATATCAATCCACAACCCCTGTTCTTCTGAGGTTAACCCTTAGCTCTGTCCCCACCATCTGTCAGCTGCGGGAACTGCAAGTAATTAACTATTCAGTCGCCCACAGCAATGAGGACACTCATTAGCAAAATGAACAAAGGGATCGTTCTGAGCTGCTACGGTCCTCTGTTACACTCTGAGTGGCAGGTTTTGTGGTGGTGTTCCTTCTGCCATCTGCCCACACTGCTAGTTTGTGCTTGCTTAAACCACGAGACTTTAAAAAAATAAACTGCATTAATAAAACGAGGTTAAGAAGGATGGAGATCATTAAAAGGTGGTTAACTGGATGTAGCCGTTTAAACCACACTATACTCTGAGAGAGAGTGTGTGTAATCCTTGATCATTCTGGAATTTCAAAATTGTAAAGAAACTTGCCAATCTCAAGTTTTTCTTTCATATTATAAAAACTAGGACTTCAGGCGGTAGCATATGTGCTATGTCTTTTGTGAATATTCACAAGATGCATACAATTACAAACTGAATCCCAAATTGAATCTTGAAAGAATCATTTTTGAAAACAGGTGTACTTGGGAGCTTTGCTCCTCAAATGCGGTCCATGGACCAGGAGCCTCAGCATCACCTGGGAACTGATTGGCAATGTAGCCCCTCAGGCCCAACCCAGGGCTACTGCATCTAACAACACCTGCAGTCTAACAACACCTGCATCTAACAACACCTAACAACACCTGCAGGTGATGTGTGTGAGTGGTAAAGTCTGAGAAGTCCTGGTTCAAAGCACTTTCTGTGCCTTCTCAGCAGTTTCCCTTCCATGGGCTCCACTGAATTGGACATCTCAATTTTCTGGGGAGGAGTAGAGTTCTGATGCAAGCCCATGCCTCATGACAGTCACAGAGAAGAGCAGGTGCTTTCCCAATGAGTGACAACCAGGAAAGTGGCACTCTGGGCAGTGCAACCCTGCAGAGCTGCCACTCTTGAATGACAGCTCTGTTTCAGAGCTGTCAGCAACAAGCAGATATGCTCAGTAATGGAAGGTAGGTGGGTGATGGTTGCGGGGCTCATCAGTGTTGGGATAAGAAAGAAAAATGAAAAGTCTATTCAAAATGCCAGCTCCAACTGAAATTAAAACACATGCACAGGCACACACACACACACAATCACAGAGACATAAAGGCTAACCTCCTTTATAAATTCTCAAGAGGATTAGCCAACGGACAGCATGGAAACCTGATGACTACAATGGCATGCAGCTGAGTCACATTGATTTCCCACCGAATAAAACCTGAACATTTCATCCCTTGAATGAAGCTGCTCTTGGGAAAGTTCAACATTCAGGATGTTCCCATCTGGAGATGAGAAATATTACAACTACTTATTAACTATAAAGCTATTGAAGTAATTTGATAATCAGTAAGAGTAAACTAGATAACTGCAGAATTAAATAAAGCTTGTTTATTTCACTTTTGTTTTTCAACTTACTTCCACTGCTACTTTGAAATTTTTAATTGTTTTTCCAAATTCGGTGTTCCCAATCTAATTCGAGATTGGTGTCCCAAGGGTTTTTTAAATACCACTAGAGGGGGCAGTTGAATCAGATGAAATTTCAAATAACAAAGATCATCTAGAACTTAAGTGGCATGAGGTTTTAGGAAAGTTTGTTCTTAGAGAATGTAGAAAAAAAAATGTGTTCCATTTTATTTGATATCAGCCATGATCTGCCTTTGTGGAATTTGCGTCTGTATTCTTGAAATGGTGACATGTATATTTTCCATCACCCTCAGTCAAGAGGAGAGAGCAGAGCCCTGTGCTTTGTTGGGGTCTCCAGGAGAAATCCATATACCCCGTTAATCAGAATCACCTCACCTTCCTCAAATCTTAAAGTGTTTACAGAAATTATAATGTGCTCTTTGGGGGTTAATTACAGTGGAATAACCGGGTATTCTGAATGCCACTGAAAGCCAGAGAACAGCCTGCTTACACATGAGCCTGTGTGGCTCCCACCTGCTATCCTCTTCACAAAGCCACAGCCCATCCTCACGGTTTCCCCAGAATGTCCAGCCAGGCCAGGTGACTAGCTGAAGAGAAAAGTTAGACGTGTAAACATTTCAAGAGTGTGGGGAGCTGTCTTACCCAATTGGGGTGTTCTCAACAGTCCAGAGGTCTGTTTGGTACATTTTATGGAACATAAACTGATGGCTATAAGGATTTGTGCATTTCCTTATAATACCTGAATTGATATACGAATATTTCTTCAAAGAAGTAGAAGCAATTTACATTCAACACGGCAGGTGTTCTTATCATAACTCTCTACTTTAGCCAGGCAGGTATCATGTTGCATTTCACAAATGGGAAATAAATGGATCAAAATTGCCTTGCCACATCTACACTGGATGTCTTTGGCCAAGGCAGGATTAAAAGAGAACTATTACAGTTTTTGATCTTTTCTATTAAACTGTTTTCTCCAAAAAGCAGAGGTAAATGTAAACTCAAGAAAAGGTTTTTCAAAAGCAAATGCAAAAATTAAATGTGCTTCCTAGTCCAAGACATATAAAAAAATATTCAATTTTATTCGATCTATGCTATGGACACAATACTGTATTGCTTAGGTGTTCAACTTTTTTCTAGATATTTTTCTAGATACAAAGATTTCTAATAGATTAACAAAACAAACACTTAAACAAAGCAAACATTTAAACCAGTTTAAATACGAACATTTAGAATGGTTTGTGCTTGATTCATTATCTCTTATAACCTTGAAGTTTTAAATAAGAGTACTAGTGAGGGATTTAGATAAACCATAGATTGTACTCAAAGGCATGAGCAACCCATAAGTGTTTCTTTCTAGTGTTAACATTTTGACATATAACTTTTCAGATTTTCCTGTATGCATGTGTCAATATTTCTAAGTGTATTAATCTATTAATAATTATTAATGCATTATAATATATCACATTGTAATATATTATAACAATCTATACATTATAATCTATACATTTTCTATATGCATATGCATATTATATATTCACTACAACCTTTAATTCTTACTGTAGAGGATAGAGCTCCCCCTCTGTAAGTGGACTTTAGATTCAGGTGAACCTTGGTACATGTACCATCTTTACCATCTACTACCTGTGTGCCCGTGAGGAAGTTACTTAACCACCCCGTCTCTGCTTCTTCATCTGCAAACTGAACTGTGAGAATGACAAGAGATGCCATCGATGAAGTATCTGATACCTGCTATTGATATTCAATAGACCTTTATTCCTCCTGGGTCCCAGTATCTGTTAGCCTTTCCAACTCAAACAATCAGCTTCTTGCTCTTAGAACTTAATAATAAAATCCTCTCCAGCTCTGGACTGTGGTTGGGCCTGAGACAGCTGGTGGCTCAGAGCAGAGATGAGATGACAATGAATTCGTTCTCAGGATCCACACTTTCCAACGCCCTTAAACTTCCTCCTTGACAGGAGTTTAGGTTCTTCTTTCTGCCTTCTCACTCATTCCATTTTCGCTCCCTTCAGTAGTTTGTCTAACCAGTAAAGCAGCTCCTGGTTCCCATTGCAACGGGAAAAACTGAGGGGAAAATCCTCTGAGATTTTTCTTCTTGATATTTTTATTAAAATGTCGTTCTTTTCCAAGTTGGCTTCTTGGAACCTCTGGCTTGGAAAGATTAACTTTGTGTCTTTCAAACTACCTTGATTGCAAAAAAAGGGTGGGAGTCTTCAGTTACAACAAAAGTCCACTCCCATACTCTTCTAGAGTAGGACTTTTTTTTGCAGTGGGATGTAAGTTATTTCCATTTAAATAAAATATACAGAACCATTATATTGCTCCTATTCATATTGCTATGGGTTTTCTAGAATAGGTCATTGAGCAGAAAAGAGTTAGACTGGCTTATATTATGGGGAGATGCCCAAAATGCATCAATTGGATTTTAGTTCATCATTAAATCAAGCTTTTAACTATTTATGACTTTCTTTACAAATATTAAAATTAATTATTCCTTGCCTTGAAACTTACCATTTTGTGAAATCCCAAATCTTCATATTGGTCTAGTTGTTCTTTTAATTCTTTAATAACTTCTTCTTTCTCTTTCAGTTTTCTTAACAAAATATTTATTTTGACACTACTCGCATCTTGCAAATTAATGTTCTCTTCTTCTACCTCAAAAAATTGCTGGGTACAAAAAAAAGCAGCATTAAAAGTTAATTAGACACTCAGCATTAAAAATTAGACACCACCAGAAAACATTTCATCTTTTAAGCTGCTGTTTTGTGAGGTTATTTTTGTAACCTGCATACAATTTTAATAAGAAAATTTATTTATATTGAAATATATGCTTAAAAATTATTATGCACTATGTAGCACAGTGTTATCCTATAAAACACAAAGCATGATCAGTTACTCTAACTGTATCAGCCATGTAAACTACAATAGCAAAGAGTGAGATGGAAGAATAGGAGAACTTCCACTCAACAAGAATTTGGCAGCCATTCATGGATGAAAGTGCCCTTGAGGGAGATTTGGGACCTGGATAGAAGACTGCAAAACTCTGGTGGAGCCCAAGACTGAGGAGGGCTGTTTTGAGTGGCAGGCTGCACCTAGGTGGCAGGCTCACTGACCATGATCCCAGCTACAAACCCAGAAATGGCTTCATCCCCCTGCGGACTTGGTCCTGCCACTAGAACCATCTGCCAAGAAATCCAGGAGGAATCACGTTCACCTGTGCCTCTGGTGACACGCCCACAGGCCTCAGTCTCAGCTGTGGACCCTGAATCAGCTCTGTAACTCAACAAAACCCACTTTCAGCTGCAGTTTGAGACCAGTTCTGCCTGCCCAGGCACCTGCTGGGAGTCATGCCTATTTGTGCCCTCGGAAGCTGGTCGGCTGACCTCGGTCTCACAGCAGATCTTGAAATACCCCTTTAACTTGGCCCCAGCCCTCTCAGCTGCAGTCTGAGAGCAGTCTTGCCCACCCAGGGGCTTGATGAAAGCTATGCCTTTCTGTGCCCCAAAGGCAGGCCCACTGATCTTGATTCCACTGCAGATCTTGGGGTGGACCTACACCTAGTTCTGTCCCTTCCTAGCCTTGGTCCAGAAGCAGTCCTGTCCACCCAGAGATCTACCAGGAAACATGCCCATCAATGCTTCTGGAGGCAGGCTGCTGACCTCAGTCTGATGGAGAAGCCTGAAGTAGCCCCGTGACCCAGCTCTAGCCCACTCAGCCATGATCCAAGAGCAGTCCTGCTTGCCCAGGAGCCCAGTAGGAGGCACACCTGTCTGTGTCTCTGGAGGTATGTCTGCAGACCCCAGTCTCAGTGTAAGCCATGAAGCAGCCCTGTAATTCCATTCAAGTGCCTGTCAGCCATGGTCCATGACCAATTCTTCTTGCCCAGGGACCAACTCAGTAACCCAGCAGGAACACTCCAAGGGACCTGAAGGAATACAACACTTATCTGCGCCTGGTAACAGGCCCACCATCTGCAAACCCAACTGTGAAACCTGAAGCATATTCTTTACCCAGCACCAACTCTACAGACCAAGGTCCTGGAAGCAGTTTATTCTTTCCAGGGGCCAGACAGGATGCAAGCCTGTTCAAGCCCCTAGTAATAGGCCCACTAACATGGACCCCATTGCAGACCCAGCAGCAGCCACATAACTCGGCTGCAGTCCTACTCAACTGTAATCCTGGAGGCAATCTTATCAGCTCAGGAACCCAAAAGAAGAAAATATTTACCTAGCAAAACCAGTCTGTAATGACTGAAGGAAGTGTTTGCTCATTCAAATGCACAAACACCAACATAAGGCTATATAGGTAGTGAAGAATCAGGCAAACACGACACTCTCAAGAAAACGAATACAGTTCCAGTAACTGACTCCAAAAAAATGGAGATCTGCAAATCGTCTGACAAATAATTCAAAATATTATCTTTAAGAAGCTCAATGAGATGCAAGAGAACACAGATACACAGTTGAACAAAACAAGAAAAACAATGCATTAACAAAATTAGAAGTTTCATAAAGCAATAGTAAATGCCAGGCATGGTGGCTTGTGTCTATAATCCCAGCTACTTGGGAGGCTGAAGCAGGTGGATCACTCGAGGCCAGGAGTTTGGGACCAGCCTGAGTAACATAACAAGACATCCTTCTCTACAATTTTTTTTTAAAAGAAAAGATTAAAGAATGGGCCAAGGACCTAAATAAACATTTTTCCAAAGACGGTATACAAATCGCTAACAGGTACATGAAACATAACCAATCATCAGGAAAATGTAAATCAAAACTACAATGAGAAATTACCTCATTATGATAAGAATGAGCTATTAGAATGAGTATTTTCAAAAAGATAAGAGACAACAAGTATTGGCAAGGGTATGGAGAAAAGGCAACCCTTGTGCACTGTTGATGGGAATGTAAAGTGGTACAGCCATTATGGAAAATAGTATGGAATTTCTTCAGAAAATTAAAAGCTGCCATATGATCCAGCTATCCTACTTCTGGGTATATATTCGAAGGAAATAAAATCATGCTCTTAAAGATATTTGCATTCCTATGTTCATTACAGCATTATTCACAATAGCCAAGATACAGAAACAACCTAAATATCTATCAACAGATGAATGAATGAAGAAAATGTTACATACACACACACACACACACACACACACACACACACACTCTCTCTCTCTCTCTCACACACGCACAATGGAATATTTACAATGGTGGTATGTATAATGTATATATTAATACAATATTTTTCAGCCATAAAAAAGAAGGATATCTTGCCATTTGGGACAACATGGATGAACCTGGAAGATATTATGCTAAGTGAAATAAGCCAGACATAAAAAAATAAATACTGTATTATCTCACTAATACGTAGAATCTAAAAAAGTTGAACTTAAAGAAGCAGAGAGCAGAACGGTGGTTGACAGGCTGGGCGCGGGGGCTCACACCTGTAATCCCAGCATTTTGGGAGCCCTAGGTGGCCGAATCACGAGGTCAGGAGTTCGAGACTAGCTTGGCCAACATGTGAAACCCCCGTCTCTACTAAAAATACAAAAAATTAGCTGAGCGTGGTGGCGGATGCCTGTAATTTCAGCTATTTGGGAGTTTGAGGCAGGAGAATCACTTGAAGCTGGGAGGTGGAGGTTGCAGTGAGCTGAGATAGCACCACTGCACTCCAGTCTAGCCTGGGTGACAGTGCGAGACTCTGTCTCAAAAAAAAAAAAAAAAAAAAAAAAAGAATGGTGGTTGACAGAGGTTGGAGCATGGGAAAAATGGGGAGATGTTGGTCAAAGGGTATAAACTTTCAGTCATAAGATGAATAAGTTCTGGCAATCTAATGTATAGCATGGTGTCTATGGTTAATAATACTGTATTGTTTACTTGAAATTTGCCAAGAGAGCGGATCTTGTGTCCTTACTGCCACCGTCCCCCACCCCACACACAGTAATAACTAGAAGTATGTGTTAATTAATTTGATTGTGGTAATCCTTATACAATGTATTTCAAATCATCACATTGTATACCTTGAATATATACAATTTATATTTGTCAATTATACATCAGTAAAGTTGGAAAAGATAATAATGGTAAATCCTAACAGTAAATTGACGTCATGATTTGTGAATATCCTACTTTAATATTCCTCTAGAAGGGAAGACAGTAAAAATTTGAATATGTAGAAAAGGAAGTAAACATCAATGGTGCAACTAATTTCCTCAATAGACAGGAATGGAGACGTTGAAAGAAGTAACATACCTTGACAGCTTGTTTTAAGCATTTAGGTGCTTCCTATCTGCATTCATTACTCTGAAGAATTATATTACAAAACCAAAAAAAGGATGAAACGCTTTTAAAGTGAATAATATTACTTACTTCCAGCATTTAAAAATCTCATTTTCAACACAGCTATGCAAAACTTGTGGTTTAGTTTGGACTCTTTTTGAAATTATAAAGAAACCATTTGATTCTTTGTGTGTTTGTTACTAATATATTTGGGTACATACAACATACAGGAAATATAGCAAAACCTAGTAATATCTGCTAATACACTTAATGTTATATTTCAAAAGAGTTAAATTTGTAAACTCAGATTGTCCTAATATGATGAATATCAGCAGACTAAGAATAATAATATATGAAGGTAGCTATGAACAGCACCAGCATAATCTTCACGGTATAAAAAATCATATATGAATGTACAGGAGAATTGAAAGGAGTGAAAAGGAATACTCCATATGACAATATCCAGTATCAGTTTTTAAAATTTTGTGATTTTATTTATTTAGTTTTTAAATTTAGTATTTTTTTTTTTTTTTTTTTTTGAGGCAGAGTCTCACTCGATCACCCAGGCTGGAGTGCAGTGGTGTAATCGGCTCACTGCAACCTCCGCTTTCTGGGCTCAAGTGATCTTCCCACCTCTGCCTCCACCTCTGCCTCCCAAGTAGCTGGGACCACAGGCACATACCACCATGCCTGGCTAATTTGTGTATTTTTTGCAGAGACAGGCCTTTGCCATGTTGCCCAGGCTGGTCTCAAACTCCTGAGCTCAAGGGATCCGCCTGCCTCAGCCTCCCAAAGTCCTGGGACTACAGAGCCACCGCGCCTGGCCTTAAATTTGGTGATTTTAAACAAGAGTATTGATTATGTAGATCTAGTCGTTACATCTATTCTTACATATGTCTATAGCTCAAACACTCTACTCAACACACATTTATTCTACCAGGGCCCTTAAGTGTTACTAGGCATCACGTATCTAACAGATCCAAACAGAGTTCAACATCTTCACTGTCATCCTTTCTACATCCCCTAATTAACAGCAGCATAAGCCAGAAACCCCTTTTAAGCCCCTTATTCTCCTTCATCAACTAACCAAATTTGTTCGACCTACCCCTAAATCTCTACCAAACCCCATCACCTTCTTTCCTGTTCCACTACAATCTCAGTACTTGCCTTGTTCACCTGGATATTGTAAAAGCTTCTTAACTAGCCTCCCTGCCTCTTGTTTTGTCACTTCTCTCCAATCTTTATCCAGTAGCCAAATAACCTTTCTAAAATGCAGCTCTCCCCATCTCCTCCTACGGGCTAACATCCAGCTCCCTTAGCATGGTATACAAAACAGCAGCCTTCCTGATCTGCTGCCAGCTTACCTGGCCAGCAACTCATGCCAGT